CAACCTGCTGATGTTCTAAACAGGAAGTGCCATAGAACTTTGAGGGCTCTGTATTATTGGAGCCATAACCGATTGAAGGAATTGGGGGAGCTCAAGAATTCGTTGGAGGCACGAATGGAAGAGCTTCAAATCATCGAAAGTAGTGAAGGTTGGCTAACGGAAGAACAAGGTCAGGAACTCAGGGTTAAGGCAGTTGAATTGAAAACTACTTTGGCGCGGATTGCTACTTGGTGGAGACAGCAATCCAAGACTAGGTGGATTGATGAAGGAGATGCCAATTCACATTTCTTTCATGCCACGGCATCTGCTCGTAGGCGAGGCAAAAGGATTGGGGAAGTTCTGAATTCTAATGGGGAGAGAGTTGCTGAACTGAAAGCTATACAGGATGAGTTCATGAATTTCTTCATGCTTAAATGGAAGGATAGGCAGGTATGCTTGGATCACTGGCCGAATTTTTAGAATTGTGATAAAATTCAAGATTTATTGAACGAAGGCTTGAAGGCAGATGTTACTGAACAAGAGATCCGGTAAGCTGTGTTCAATATGGGGAAGAATAGAGCGCCGGGAATTGACAGTATTACGTCTTCTTTTTTAAAATATTATTGGGAAATCATTAAACATGATGTTTTTCAGGCCATATTTCATTTCTTTAATACTAACTCCATGAGTGAGTTGGAAGGACACTTTGGTTATTTTAATTCCAAAGACGAACAATGCTGACTTGCCATCAAAGTATAGGCCTATCAGTCTATGCCAATCATTTTATAAGATTGTAGCCAAGATCTTGATCAACCGGCTGAAACCAGTCTTGGGGAGGATTGTTAGTGAAGAGCAGGGGCGTTCGTACCAAGAAGATCCATTTCTAGCCACAGATTGATTGGTTAGGAGATGATGTGCAAATTTCAATACTCGCTCTAGAAAACAGGAATGATGGCGCTTAAGATGGATATGGAGCAAGCTTACGATTGTATGTCATGGGAAACTTTGCAAACTGTGATGAAATGTATGGGCTTTTCGGTGCGGTTCATTCAGTGGATGATTCAATGTATTGTCAATCCTAGATTTACTCTCCTGATTACTGGGAACAGAACTCCGTGGATTTATGCGAGGAGTGGACTACGACAAGGTTGCCCCTTATCGCCTTACTTGTTCATTTTATGTTCTGAACTCCAAACCAATGCCCTTAGCCAGAGGGGAGGTCAACTTGGGATTCAGGTGGCCAATAATGCTGAGAAGATATCGCATCTATTATATGCCGATGACATCCTGATATTTGCAGAAGCGAGTAGAAGTAACTCCATTCGGATTATGGAGATATTGAATGGCTATTGCGCATGGACTGGACAGAAAATTAACTATGGGAAATCAGCAATCCTGTTCAATAAGAGATGCCAGAACTGGAAGAAAAGAATAATTGCTAAGCTGATGGGGTATCGTAAGGTGAAGTCTTTGGAGTACCTTGGATTGCCTCTGGCCATGAAGAGTTTAGTTGCAGCTGACTTTGCAAAAGTCCTGAAGATTGCTCATGAGAAAACAAATATGTGGGGAAAGAAGCATCTTTCAATGGCAGGGAGATTAGAACTTCCTTGTTACCGGTTCCTATGTACCTAATGACCAATGCCTCTATTTCGGCTGGAGTTCTTAACTCTGTTGAAAGAATGAGTAGGCAGTTCTTATGGCAGAAGGATGTGAAAAGCATTATGTTGCATGGAAAGAGCTGTGCCAACCTAAAGAGCAAGGGGGGCTCTGATTTCACTGTCTAGCATTATAGCATAGTTCCCTTCAGGCTCGATTGGCGTGGGAGGCTCTGCAAAATTTTGATTCTTTACTGAATAGGGTAGTAATACCTAAATATGGGGCGAACATATGGTGTTATAAACAGGGAAGAATTATATCTATTACTTGGAAGGTGAATCAAGATGGAGCAATGGCCCTTCGTCCCATTCTCAGGTGGAAAATCAGAGATGGCCACTAGATTGATGTGCTGAAAGATACGTGGATCCTGGATAGGAACATTGCTCGCTGGCCTACTTTTGTTAATGTGGTTGAACTGGAAGATGCCAATGTAAGTAAGTTTTTGAATAACTCTTTATAGTGGAATAGGGATATGGTAGAGGAAAGCTTTGGGAAAATTATGGGTCAACGTATTATGGAGATTAATACGAATAATGAAAATGAACGGGATTGTCCTATACCCATCTATTCTCAGTTAGGAATGTCGTTGACTGCTATAGCTTACCGTGAGAAACTAGGAAGGAAGAGTATCAATTTAATTGGCTGCACAGATTGAAGCTGCATCCCATAGAAAATTTTTTTTGGTGGAGATTGTTGAGGAATGTTATCCCAACGGCGAAGTGGTTGTTTTGTAGGGGGCTTGCTGAATCCCCATTATGCCCGTGGGGATGTAATGAAGAGGAGTCTATTGATCATTGCACTACTAAATGTGTGAAGCTGAAACAAGGTTTTAGCATCCTTGAGAAATGGGGGTTTGGAATGCCAGTGGTTAATTCGTTAACATAATTAATGAAGGATCTCTTTCTTATGATTGATAAGAATTTGAGTATGGGAAGAATGTACTGTTACGTCATTTATCAACTAGGTCTTGCTAGGAATGACTTGAAGCATACCCGGACATGCAGATCTCCCTCTGTGATTGCTGCCACGGTGCTGTTGCTGTTACCTAAGCCTTATAGCTCGCCTATACTGGAGCAATGGGGTACCAACCAGCC